GGTATGTAGCTCAGTGGTACAGTATTTGCTTAGCAATGTATGAGGCCTTGGGTTCAGTCCCTGGTACTGAGAAAAGAAAAAAAAAGATGAAATACAAATGGCCAATAAGCACATGAAAAAATATTTAACATCCTCAATAATTAAGAAAGTGAAAATCAAAAGCACAATGAGATAACATTTCACACTCAGATGGCTGTTTTACTATAACCAACAGAAAGTAATAAGTTTTGGTGGGGTTGTAAAAAAACAGGAACCCTGAACACAGTTGGAGGAAATATAAAATGGTTTAGTTGGGATGGGTGTTGTGGCTTAGTGGTGGAGCGCTTGCCTAGCATGTGTGATGCACTGGGTTTGATTTTCAGCATCACATATAAACAAATAAATAAAATAAAGGTCCATCAACAACTTTAAAAAAATTAAGCTAAGAAAGTAGTCAAACACAAAAGATGAAATATAGTATGATTCCTTTCATATAAAATATTCAGAAAAGAGACAGAAAGCAGTTTAGAGATTACCAGGGGATGAGTAAAGAGGCAAATGGTGAATAAAAGTTAATGGGAATGGGGTATTTTACTGAAGTGATGAAAAAGTTTTGAAACTAGAGCTAGGTGGTATATACATAATATTGTGAAAGCACCAAATGCCACTGCATTGCATAATTCAAAACAATTGTGTAATGTGAATTTCATCTCAATAAAAAACAAAAGAAAGGCAGTTGTAAATTTTCTAACTTAGGACTTAAAGTTAGATGTAATGTTATATATTCTAGAAGAAGAGAGTGGAAAGTAAAATAAGATCATTATGGTAAAAGTAATAGGAAATTCAAAGGATATCATTTAAAGTAACAAACCATGTAGCAAAAGGTTAAGTTTTTAAAAAATGATTGTGGGCATGATATAAGGTATAAACATAAAACCACTAGAACAAAAAAAAAAAACAGACCTTCCCATATATCGAAATAAATTTAAAAAGAATAACAAAGGCACGGGAGGAAAGACCCACCCAGGAAATACAATTAGTAATGAAAACACAAATTAATACAACAGCATTTAGACTAGTCATGTTAAATACGTTAATAAATGGAATAGGCTTATTAACTCACTTACTAGAAAAAAATATTTTCAATTGACTCATAAGTTAAATTTAACTCTGTTGCATACAAGAGTTACACCTAAATTGGAGATTTAGAAAGGCATAAAAGATTTAAAAAGAAAGAAATAAAAAAGATATATCTGACAAATGAAAACGATAAGAAAGTATTCCTGATATCAAACAGAAGAATTAGGCCAAAAAAATAAAACAAAGGATATTTTATATTGCTAAAAGACAAATTTAAAAGTGATTATATAACAGTTCTTCATATCTATACATCAATAAGACAAAAATCATCCATATAAAGCAGAAACAAGGAGGTAAAATAACAAGACTGATAGAAACCACCAATAACAGGAAGTTTTGACATACCACTATCAGTAAAAGATAGGTAAATGGACAAAAGTAAGAATGAATATATATAACAATAAGATTTTGTGGAAATATATACACATATGTGTGACTCAATTTGGAAATTCAGTGTATGAAAAAGGTGGTATTTCAAATGCAAGGGAAAAGATTGATTTTTAAATAAATGATGATGGGAAAACAGGATAGCATTTGTAAAAAAGATAAAATTAGCTCTACTCTTCATACCATACACACAGACTTAATATGAATGAGAGATCTAAATGTAAAAAAGTTAAATTACACAGGTACTAGAAGAAAAATGAGCAGGTTTTTCCATAATCTGTTGCAGGAGAAGTTTTCTAGCTATGTTCCAAAGTCCAGAAAAATTAGAGAAAAGATTATTAACTATGACTACAAAAAAATGAAAAGAAAAAAATTTGCATGACCCCAAACACCACAAAGTTAAAAGACAAATGACAACTGCTAAAGGACTTTAAAAAATCAAGAGGGAAAACAACAAAAACTGAAGGTCCTCTTAATAACTGAGTTCTTTAAAATGTTGAGAGAAAAAAATGGGAAAGGATATGACCAATTTATTTTTTTAAAAAAGATTTAAAATGTTATCAGAGTTTTTTTATTTTGTTTTGCTTTTTGCCTGTGTGTGCTACTGGGGATTGGACCCAGGGCCTTGCACACACACACAGCAAGTTCTCAAGCAGTTATATTCCTGGCTCAATGCTACATCTTCAGCTCAATATATTCAATTTTTAATGGTCCTTAAACTTACAAAAAGATGTTCAACTTCACTCAGAATAAGAAAAATACAAATTAAAATTATTCTTAGTTACTATTTCTTGCCCATTAGATTGGCATAAATTTTAAAATACAACAACTTAATTCTCTTGATGAGTCCATGCAGAAATAAGCACTCTGATTTGTTGCTGCTGGAAATGAAAACTAGCCTAATCCACTTAGAGGGAAATCTGGCAATCTCTAATAAAGCTACTGCAATGGTTTAGATAAGATGTGTCACCCAAAAGCTCATGTATGAGACAACATACAAGAAAGTTTAGTGGTGAAATGATTGGGTTATGAGAGACTTAGCCTAACCAATATATTTATCCACTTGAATAGATTAACTGGGTGTTGTAACTCTAGGCAGGTAGGGTGTGACTGGAGGAGGCAGTTCACTGGGGTTAAGTCTTTGGGGTATATTTTTTTTTTTTTTTTAAGTTGTTGATGGACCTTTATTTTATTTATTTATATGTTGTGCTGAGAAGTGAACCCAGGGCCTCACACATGGTAGGCAAGTGCTCTACTACTGAGCCACAACCCCAGCCCACTGGAGTATATATTTTGTCCCCGGTAAGTGGAGCTCTCTTTCTGTTTTCTATTTGACATGTCCTGAGCTACTTTTTTCCTCTACACCCTTATGTCCTGATGTTCTGCCTTACCTCAGGCTCAGAGCAGTGAAGCTGGTTGTCTATTGGCTGAGACTGTGAAACCACGAACATCAGTCAAATAAACTTTTCCTCCTCCAAAAGTGTGTTTGTCAAGTCTTTCAATCACAGCAGTGAAAAAGCTGACTAAAACAGCTACATATGCAGTTTTATCCTTTGGCCCTGCAATCCCATTTATATGAATTTATCCTGCAATAGTGCCAAAATACTTACATGCAAGGTTATTTGTTGTTTGAAAGTATTGGAAACTCTATAAATATTCATTCAGGAAACTGGTTGAACTACACTATATTATTGTATATATACTTAATGAGGTACTATGCAGCAGTTAAACAAAAACCCTCAACTGATAATGGAGTGATTTCTAGGCTATATAGTGAAGTGAAAAAAGCAAACTACAAAGGAGTATATAAAGTATGCTATTCTGTGCCAGAATGAAACGGGACATAAAAGCACATACATGTATCTGTTCATACACACACACATATACATCCAACTACTGATAAATATATTTTTATTATGGATTATTAATTCACTGCATAAATATATCAGTTTTTTAGCTACTCCTCTGTTTATATTTTATCCTGCTGACAATATTTTCAGTTGTCTGCTAATATACATGTTTTCTTAATGGACATGTGTTCATTTATCTTGGTAAAAACTTACAAGTAGAAGTGCTAGATCATAAGTAGGTTGTATGTGTAGTTTGATAAAAAACCACCAGATATTTTCCCAAAGTGTTTTATACCATTTCTGAAAACAAGATATTCGAGGTGAGGGTGCTTCAATATCCTCATATTTAGTGGTGTCATCCCTATACTTTTCTTACAATTTTGCTGTATGTTTGAATCATTTCAAAACAAAGTTAAAATAGAATTTATCTATATTTACTTTATGCCTGTTCCAAGTGAAATAGTTACTACTGTTGTTATTATTTCATAGCAACTTATCCAAGGTCACAGATAATTGTTGGCATTATCCACTAACCCCATCTCTCCACTCCATCCAGTGTCCATGCCATTATGCTGATTGTCTTTATCCACACAACCTGCCTCTAAACTTTTCCCATGTTCATATTTCCAGAAGTTTTATCCCATACTTCGTTTTAGCTACATATTTTCTTGGCCATGCTTTTTTTTTTCCCCAAGAGTTTTTTTTAAGAGTGTTCTATGGACAAAAGCATTAACAACCTGGGACTAAAAGATAGCGCCAGAAACTGAGACTGTCTGAGAAATAAAAAGACCTCTGCTTGTCCACATTTTAGACCTCAGCATCACCCCAAACTGTTCCACCTCCAAAATCACTAAGTCTCATATCCCTTCATCTACTAATGCCTTTTCTTTTTCAGTGTTCACTCAATTATCCCATTATAGATGTTTTCTATATCACTTGAACTTCCAGTCATTAGTCCATTCATTTTCTCTATTCTTCACTGCTCTCTTGGGTACCTAGTCTATAGCAGTCATTTTAAAAATATTGATAAATAAAATCACCATCATCCAGCTTAGATTCTATGGTTCATTATTTTAAATACTCTCTTGTCTAAAATCTGTTACTCAATTCTTCATTTGAAAACCACCTGGCAAAACCTTAATTCTAGAACTATCTATGTTCTCTATGTTGGCACTTAAACTAGAAAGCAGTGCTAAACAAAAACCATACAATGAGACTAACTAATGCTACTGAGAATTCAGGTTCACAAGTTTTATTTGGGTCCACAATAATATCAGACGTTCTTATTATGTTTTCTTCATCATCTTGGACTTCTTTTTCAGCAACAGCTATATCAAACCTCTTCCTATTTCTTCAAACTCCACTTGTTATCTACACTTGGAGGTTTCACATACATTTCAAATTCAACACGTTGAAAACTGAATTCAACATTTTTTCCATCTAACATAACCCCTAATCATCCAAATACATTTGTTCTTTCTCCAGCCCCCTCATCTTGGTAAATGGCACTACCATAAGGCCGAAAATCTGGCAATCATCCTTGTTCCAACTACTGCCTCATACTTAATAAGTCATGTTGACTACTTCCTATATATGCTTCCTATATTTGGGTACCAAGTATCCCAAATCAATATTTTCTTTTTATTTTTTAATGAAATGCTAGTAAATGTGTGTGTTGTCCATGCACAGGGGCCATGCTAGTCTCTCTGTATGTTTCCAATTTTAGTATATGTTCTAATGAAGGGAGCACTCAAGATTCTTTTCTCTTTTTTTAATTGATTTTATTTTTAAAATATATGATAGCAGAATGCATTACAGATCTTATTACACATGTAGAGCACAATTTTTCATATCTGTTTGTATATAAAGTATGTTCACACCAATTCATGTCTTCCTACTTGTACTTTGGATAATGATATCCATCACATTCCACCATCATTGCTAACCCCCTGCCCCCTCCCTTCCCCTCCTGCCCCTCTGCCCTATCTAGAGTTCCTCTATTCCTACCATGCTCCCCCTCCCTACCCCACTATGAATCAGTCACCTTATATCAGAGAAAACATTTGGCATTTGTTTTTTGGGGATTGGCTAACTTAGCATTATCTTCTCCAACGCCATCTATTTACCTGCAAATGCCATGATTTTATTCTCTTTTGTTGCTAAGTAATATTCCATTGTGTATATATGCCACATTTTTTAATCCATTCATCTATTGAAGGGCATCTTTTCTAAAAACTATAGTTTTTGAAACCCATTCTCCTGGCCTCTACTCTAAGCATAATTCTAATTCCTTCTCCAAACTTCAGAGTTAGCATTCTAATTGGCTTAAGACCCCAGTAGGACCTCTTTGATAGGATCCTAGGTAAACTGCCTTAACTTTATAAACTTCTTTTAGTCTCAAACATGTTAACTCTCACCCCTAGAACTACATTTTCTATATAATTCAATATTGTCTACCTGATATGCTTTCTCTGTACCTCTTAACCTGGCTCATTCTTACTTAAATTCCATGTCTCAAATTAAACATCACTTACTTTAGACTCTACCTTATTTTCCAGAGTAAGTAAGAACCCAAACTCATACATTAGTATAAATCAACATAATATAGAGTGGTAATTACAAGTATGAAAAGTGGTAAAATTTTTTAAAGTCTTTTTTTTTCTACCTGGAAGAATCACAGACAAGGCAACATCTGTACAGTTTTAAAGGATGAAGTGAGTTCACTCTTTCTCTCAACACACCACACACACACACACACACACACACACACACACATATACACACACACACAAGGGAAGAAGTAAGCACAGTATCCAAACAGATACACAAATACATGAATGTGACAGGGCATGAGAAAAGCTTTAAGGAGGGGACAGAAGAAGGAGAGAGGATGAGGAACAAATAATTTGGTGTTGTAGTAAAATAAAGCACAAGGAAGTGATAGATCCTCTTCATACTTAACAATGGTGATCTGCAGAACATCTGTTTCAGAATTACTGAGCATTTTAAAAAACATACTGATCTTTAGGTTTCATCCTGGATCTAATCAATCAGAATCTCTGGAGTTGTAAGCCCAATAATCTGTAATTTTACCAACAGCCCAAAAGATCTTATACCCATCAGTTCAAAATTTTTTTAATAGAGGGAAACTGACCTTGGTCCTAAAAACAGTCATTTAAGTAGTTTTATTTTTTATATAAATGTGAAGACAGAAAAAAGTTCCTCTTTAGTCAACAGGGACTAGCAAAAATTTTTAAGGCTCTAGAATAAATAACACACCTTAGACCCCTTCCTCCCTAGTTAACAGGGATGATTAAGTGGCTTAAGCAAACCAAGGTAAACCAGGGGAACAACACAACAAGTTTTTTGCATTGGAAGGCAGAAAAAAAAAAGCTTAATCCTTGAGAGAATCTCATAGGAAGACACTAATTGTAGGGTCTGCAAAATGAAAAGAAACCCAAAATCAGCTAGGCACAACTCTTCTGTGACAGCAGGACCTTATAAAAGAGTGGACTAAATTGTGTGCCTGAAGTGACCAGAAACTAATAAGTGTACAAAGAGAGATACCCTGGGTCAACTGAAGCACTGAGATAGTGAGTTGTCCATGAAGTCATCCTCACTTGAAAAGACCTTACTGGTCTTTACCAAAAGCTGAACGAGTTAAATATTGCTGCCTGGGGACCAGCAGCACCAAACAGCCGAGATAAGTGTTTTGACTCTGAACCATCTGGCAACGAAAAAACAGTAGTAACAAACTGAAAGTCACCAAAATTCTTCCCTGCTGACTAGTGGAAATCAGATATACATTATGTTTAGAATGAATAAACTCTCTGAAGTTTTCAGACAACTGCAGGGGAAAGGGAAATGCCTGTATTTTAGACAACATATGGGAAGGGATAACATTCATCTGTCTGCTAAATGCAGCATCTAGGGACTTGGGTTGGTTTTAATCTAAATTAGAGAAATAAGAAATGGACTACATTTTTACTCTAAGTGTTATGAAGCAGATCATATTAGTTGCATGATAATGTGTGTAAAACATCTAGCACAGTGTCTGACTCATTGCAATTAATCTATAATAAAGGGTACTCATTGCAGCTGTTATTATTTTAGAGGGAGAGAGATACAAAAGTGGTTAAAAGGTTTACAGTCTAAACATTAGGGAGAATGGTTACAAAAAGGAAAAAGTAGGAGAAAGACCTGAGTTTGGAAAATATTTGTCTTTAGGCATGATGATTTTTCATTAAAGAAAGACATCTAAATAGAAGTATCTGCTTGCTTAGAATGCATACATTTTTGTTTACTGAAATCTTATCCTCCTTCTACCATCGTCCAGCTCCCATTTCTGCTAACATATCCTCAATCCTTTGCAATCATTCTTGCCTTCTTTGATCCTTTAGTACTTTTATATTTCTACAATTCTGTTTTATATTATAATTATTTTTCTACACTTTGTCTTGTCAACAAGATTGTGTTACTTTAGGGAAAGGAGAGACTAAATCCAGGTAGATTTTTGTTTGTCCCATAGAATTGGGCCCATAATGAGTACTTAGTAATCTATCAGCAACTATCAAGGTAAGAACCCGACCTCTTTATGAACATAAATAAGATCACCTAAATACCACCATTTCTGGAATAAACAAAAGGAACCCAGGATTCTGTGTGATACTAGCAAGATCCCTGATCCTCCCTCCCCTTGCTCAACTTGCACAGGTTCCTTAATCACCTTCAGATCCTCATAATGCCTTTTATGCCCACTTAATTCCAAAGAGTTCAGTGCTCCCAGGTCATTCCTCAATGCCCAGATTCCACCCAGATTCTAATGCCCATATGTCAATATGAGCAATGAGACAAATTCTCCACATATCTCAACATTATTACACCATTTCCTTACTTTATTTTCCTCCATAGCATTTATCACCATCTGACTGTGATGTTGTCTGGGTCCTAACTTTAAGTAAGTTCCATGGAACAAATATAAAAGCCTGTTTTATTCATTGATCCAAATCTAAACCTAATATAGTACCTGGCCTATGGTATGGCTCAACAGATATTTGCACAATAAGTAAAAATGAATACACATTTCATTTGTTAACACAGTCAAACAAATACTGACTGCCTGTAATGTATTCCAATGACACATTTATAAATAAGAATGGCAAGATTTATATCTTCATTTAGACTCTGCAATAAGAGAAAATATTAAACACTATGTAATTATGCATAATTATAATAAATGTGTTCAAGGAAAGTATAGGAGAGGGAAACCTGACCTAGGAAGACAGTAAGGGAGAATCCAAGCCAGACACTGAAGAAATACATTTAAGCAAAGACTGAAGGATAAATACGAATTATTTGAACATCGAAAGGTGAAAGATTTCAGACACAAAGGATGTCTCAAGACTATAAAAAGGAACACAGTTTTTTGTTTAGAAGCTTTATTTAGAAAAATTGAGATGCAATAAATTGTATTAATATAAAGCATATGATTTGTTAAATTCTGATGTGTTAAATTGGATGTAAGTTTAGACATACATCCATGAAACCATCACCACAATCCAGAGAATGAATGTTATCTGCATCCATCTTGGCATATAATTTGATTTCTTCTTGTTTTTGTTTTGGTTGGTGTTTTTGTTTTTGTTTTATTTTTGTTTTATTTTTATATGTAACTGTGTAATGAATCCAGGGGCACTCTACCAGCCCTTCTAATTTTTTATTTCGAGACAGGATCTTCCTTAGCTTCCCAGGCTAACCTTAAACTTGTCATCTTCCTTTCTCAGCCTCCTGAGTAGTGGGGATTACAAGTATGTGCCACTACACCCAGTAATATGGAATTTTTATTTATTCAATTAAGATTTATTGGTACCTACCATATATATTGGATATATATTGGTATATGATCCCTGTCCTTTTATACTTCAACAGGTATCTATTCAAGAAGTAAAAGAAGGCCTGGGTAACTATGTCTGTGGAGGTAGTATCCTTGCATACCATATTTTGATTTTTATACAAAGAGCCACAGGTTCAAGTCATGCTTAACTTGAACAGGAAGCCATTCAAAGATTTTAAGTAAGGTAATGGCATGGTTACATTTGTCTTTTCAGAAAAAATCATACTGACAGAAAGTGAAGAACATGTAACAGAAAGTCAAGAGTGGTTTCTGGGGGAACCTGTTAGGAAAGTGTAATAATCCTGGCAAAGAGATGATGAAAGTTTGGCAAAGGGTTGTGGTGGCAGAGAGGACAAGTTTTAGAATGATTTAAGAGATAATTAAGAAGCAAAACCATAAGAACTTAGTGATGTGTTAGATATAATGAGACTAACCTTGCATTTGTGATCCTCCTGCCTCAGACTCCCAGGTCTCTGGATTATAGGTATATGCCATCACGCCTGGCTGATTCTTAGTTTTCTTGCTAAACAATTATCTGAATGTGATGTTACTTCCACAAAGGAGACTTTAGAGGAGAAAGACTGGGTGGAAAACATAAGTTCAGTCTTAGATATACTAAGTTTGATGGGTTCAAAAGATATCCAGAAGGCAGTTAATTATACAAGGTTGGGTAGACTAGGAACAGGAGGCAAAGGTGATTGAGAAAGACTAATTAGGCAAATAAAAGAAATACTAAGTACCAAATTGGAATGAAGTAAAACAACTATCTCTATTCACAGATGACGTGATCTTACATACAGAAAATCCTAAGAAATCCACACAAAACTATAAGAGGTAATAAAAACGTTCATTTAGGA